GGATCAGGACTGGAATTCAACACAAAGAAGGAGGATCAGGCTTGGCTCGAAGGATGCTATGTAGGGAAGACATTCTCGGTAGAAGCAGTTCCAAACCTGTAGGAGAAATTTTATATGGAAGGATACTTTCATGTTCAGTTAGGCCAATGGGGGGTAAGCTAGTGTTGCTTGATTGCAAAGATAAAAATGAATTAAGAGACCTTGTGAAGCTGGGAAAGGACTGGTTAAGTCAATGGTTTGAAGACGTCAGACCCTGGACACCAAACATGATTGCTTGCGAACGGTTTGTGTGGTTGAGGTGTCAAGGGGTTCCCCTTCAAGCATGGGGAGAGGAATTTTTCACTACCTTAGCGTGCATTTGGGGAAAGTTTATATGCCTTGATGATAGCACAAGTGCAAGAAAAAGATTCAATATTGGAAGGTTCCTCATTTCGACATCAACAATGGATTTTATCTCAAAGAGTCTGAGTATAAAGGTCAATGGCAGACCGGTGAATGTGAAGATCACAGAAGAAGAATCAACAAATGGCATATTTAGAATGAAATCTGACTTTAATCCGTGCTTTGCATCGGACTTTGATGGTGGGGATGATGAATCATGGTCTTTGGAAAGTTCAAAAGGAGAATACATGGAAGATGAACAGTTTGAGCCCATGCAATCTAACGAGATCCCAAGTTCAGGTGTTGATAAGAAAGATGATGAGGTGGCAAAGGCAGATAGGGTAAAAGATGAAATGACGGTGAACCTGGTGCCAGTGGAGGACATTAGGTGCCAGGACATCAACGGAAGCCTAGATAGCATTAAAGACGGTGTCGATATGAGTGCTAGGAACACAAGAACACAGTCTGAAGCATGGAAGATTGCGAAGGACAGTGTGGTAGGGGCGCCAAATTCAAATTTGATATGTTCAAATGGTGAAATGGAATTAAATAATGCTGTCATCGTAGAAAAGGCCCGTGAACCTTTTGGTGAGGTACTTGGGTTGGATGAAAATGGGCTTGGTGAAAGAGACATGGATTTAGTGGGTAAGGAAAATGGGCTGGATGGGATAGACCTTCAGAGACCCATTGAAAACCAGCTTAAGGTACCATCGGAAACCCAAGATGTGGGTCATACGATAAACTCGAATAAAGAAGGCTC